TTTTTAAAAAGCAAAGAGAAAGAAAAAAATTAAAAGTATGTGTCAGAGTTGTATTCTCTCTCCATACCTATTCAATCTATACATTGTGCAAATTATTCAAGAAGCTGGACTCTGTGAAGAAGAATATGGTAAGAGAATTGGAGGAAGACTCATAAATAACTTCTGCTATGCAGATGATATAACCTTGCTTGCTGAAAGTAGAAAGGACTTGAAGATCTTGGGCAGAAGATCAAAGAATACAGCTTTCAGTATGAATTGCACCTCAATGTCAAGAAAATATAAATTCTAACCAATAGGCAACAACATGATAGATTGGGGAGAAAAATTGAGACTGTCAACAACTTCATCTCTCTTGGAGCCACTCCTAACGTACTTGGTATTAGCCGTCAGGAGATCAGAAGTATTGTACCAGGAAAGTCTGCAGTCAGAGACCTCTCCAAATTATTGAGGAACAATGATAATAATTTGAGGACTAGAGTGAGCCTGATTCAGACCATGGTCTTTTCAGTCACTTGTTATGCATCTGAAAACTGGATAATTAATAAGGCTGACATGAAGATTGATGCCTTTGATCTATGGTGCTTCCTTGGGGGCTAAGATAGCAAAGCTTTATCTCACATACTTTAGATATATTGCTAGGAGAGGCTCTTCTTTAGAGAGAGACATCATGCTTGAAATGGTGGAGGGACAAGGAAAGATAAGAAAACCCTCATCCAGATGGACTGATAGAGTAACTAACTGCAGCCCTGGGCCCATGTGTTAGAGATGTTGAGGAAGGCACAGGATAAGGCAGGGTTCAGATCTGTGGTTCATAAGGTCACTATGAGTCATACTCAACTCGATTACACTTAGCAAAAACATTTTATATCTCAGGGAGCTCTGGTGGCATGGTCCATAGGTTGTTGCACTACCACCCCAAAGGTCATGGGTCTCTGATGGCTTAAATCCACCAGCAGCAACTTGGGGAAAAGATGGGCAATCTCTTTTTGTACAATATGTATCCTTCTATATTGCTGTAGGGTCTTCTGTGAGTTGGTTCTGACTTTATGGCAAAAAGTGGAGTTGCTGAGTATTCTTTGTTTCACGAACTTACAACATTGAGTTCCTATGAGACTGTTCAAGTTTGGGACACTTGGATATTGCCTGACTTGTACCCTTACAAATTCCCTGACTTCTGAGCCAGAATCCACCCCTTGGACAGTTTCTGTCAGCCTGAACTCCTTTACCTTAGTCAGAATGAGCCCTGTCTCCACATATTTACTGTCTGCCTACTACTAGTTGAATTTGGTCAGTGCAACCTCTTTGTGCTGTCAAAGGTTCCCTGAGTCACCTGTCATTGGGCTTTAGTGACTGCAATCCCTCTTGTTGAATTATATTCAAAGCAAAGAGAGGGCAATGGTAATAAAAGTCTAGGTAGAGAAAGATTGACGATGAAGAGAGGATTGGCTAGGGAATATTTCTGCGACTGGCACCGGGAAGAAGCAGGCCGAACTGTGTGACAGCGAGCCTCAGATTTCCACTCGTATTTCAACCTTGATGAGCCCAAGAGCGCCACCAAGTGTGCATAGTATGCTAAGCTCCAAATAAGAGGTGTATTCAAAATACCTTTCAAAATTATTAATACATGCTTGAAGAATATACATTTCATTAATCCTTTAGATCACAGGCCTGTATTTATGGTTCTTTTTCAACCTTCTCCCTGTGCCTCTTGAAAAAGGAAATCAATCTTGGCTGCTGCTGGTTGAAATATCGGCATACTTTGATCTAGGCCCTATACTAGACGCTATACTCAATTTTGAAACCCTTCAAGTCATCACTGTCTTACTATCATTCTAGTCTTATAGCTAAGGAAACTGTTAAAACAGATTAAGTAAATTGTACAGGATTTTCTTTCTTTTTTCCCACCTAGTTGCTCAGGATTCCTACTTGTCTTTGAGCTCATTTAATATTTATTTACTATCAAGTTCTGGCGACTTGGTGTATAATATATCAGGCTACTAACTAAAATATTAGCAGTTTGAATCCACTAAGCGCCTTATAGGAGAGATGTGGGTAGTCTCCTCCTATAAAAATATACAGTCACATAGAGATTTGGTCATGAGTCAGAACTGAACCAATGGCAGTGAAGTTTGCTTTATTTGTTTCTGCACCAAGCACAAAATAGGCAAAATTTCTTGTCTTTACAGATTTATTTTGTAATGGGTCGAGTTTATTTCATGGCTATCTTAACATTTAGGCATATATACCTATAACACTCCATCCTGAGAGACTCTTAATCTTAAATTGTTGTTATGTACCCTGAGGTTGGAAAAAGGCAGTAAATCTCAGAAGAGATTACCATCTTTCTCTCATGGAGAAGAAGGTGAATTTGAACCATATGTTTTTGAGTTGGAAGTGCAACACCCTAACACTAAGCCACCAGAGCTCCCTAGTTCTAACTAGCATCTTAGTTATACTTTCCTTGGGGATCTGACTTCAGGCCTCACCATAAGCCCACAGAGAGCTCTGAATTCAGACTTCCTGTTAATTTATATGTTTTATTAAGAAGAGTTGACTGAATTGGTAGTTCGAGTTTTATTTCCATGATGATCCCCAAGTGTAACTGCTAATTGTATGTTTCTAAGTGCGTGCTTCTGCCTGTGCTCTGTCCTTTAAGTCTCTGCACATCAGGAGACCAGGCCAGGCAAAGCTTTGTGTAAGTTGCAGTCTCCTTCGCTGTTCAATTCAAGCCCTACTTAAATATGAGAATTCAAGGAATTAACTCATGCTGCAATCACCATAGTCCCAGAGACTTGCTACAACTTCTGTCTAATTTTCATTTACATGCTGCTCTAGGAATGGTAACTTGTATTAAATGTGTTTTCTTGTAGAATATTTTAGCAGACAGTGAATGGAATTGCTATCATAACTGTTGGAACACCTACTATGAGAAGAAAAAAATATTTGGCACCTATAAACTAAAAAAAAAAAATTAAAAAAATAAAATATCCAGTACTGTCAAACTGGAATCTACTTATCACGGACCTTCCAGCAAATTTTGAGGAGGCTGTAAATCACTTAGAAGGAGTTATCTGTGGACCACCAGAGAAACATCACCTTTGGGTCAGCAGTGCAACTCCCTTTGGACCACTGCACCCAATAAAAAGAAAGAAAAAAAAAACCCACTTTGGTTAAAAAAATTAATGAGTCATGAATATATTTAAATATCAAAGATAGAAATCTTGGAGCAGCCTGCCACCTTCAGGAAACTTCTCAATTCTGGGAAAACACTGGTTTTATCCTTTTTATAAAATTCCAAACATTAATATTGTTGTTGTTAGGTACTTTTAAGTCAACCACGACTCCTAGCAATCCTCTAAACAACAGATAGCCTTGCCTGATCCTGAAAGCTCCTCAAAATCCCCACTAAACTCAAGCCCAATGATAAATTCTATCAGAAACATTACATTCATTTTCTGCAAATAAAATTACTCCTTTCTTTCATTATCTTTACTGTGATGCTTTCCTTGATTTTAACTGGTTTAAAACAAGCTACTCATTTACTAAGCAGAACTAAGAACAATAAAACAAATCTGGCCACAACAGTTTGTAAAAACGTATTATAATTGTGGATATCCTTCTAGTTCCAATTCCTTTGTCAATTTCTTTTATTACGGATTAATCCCAATAAACCTCTAAAGAATTATGAAACAAAAGCACACTGGAGTACCCCAATCAGAAATGGTGGGAAGAAGAGAGGAGAGAGAATATGCAGCGGTGCTCATTTATTTTTCCTTTTCCTGATATTTTATTGACTTCTCCGTTAGGTTACATGGAAGTTTTTTGTTTTGTTTTTGAAAATAGACTGGAGAATGACCCAGTAACTTAGTGCTTAATAGTATGGACAAATACATTTGCTGGGAAAATGCAGAAGCGAAGGGAAAGCATAGCTGAAATCAGTATCAAATGAAAAGTTGAGAGCAGGATGTGAAAAATTACAGAAAAACAATGTTGCTCAGAAATGCATCAGGCAAAGTGACAGGCAAATAAAGGACAATAAAACAGTGCATAAGAACCAACCTTCTTTGGGAAGGATTAAAGTTTCTTGATTTTTGCTTCACAAAAGCAGAAAAAGGGTAACATTAACCTCTTGCTTGATCATGATATAATTTCCGCAAAACCAGATTGGTTGCAATCTAGTTGATAATCTTTAGAGAATCAAGCGGAACTCAAAGCGACAGACTAGCACTGTGCCATGTCGTTCCCAAATTGGTCATCTTTTGGAAGTTAAGTCTTGGTGGTACAGTTAAACTATCTGGCTGTCATCCAAAAGACCAGCAATTTGAACTCCCCAGCTCTGGCGGCCTACTGGTAAAAAGCTGCGCTGCGATCCCCAAGTCAGAGGTCCGAATCCATCAGTTGCTCCCAGGGAGAAGGATGCAATTTACTTGGCTGCTTTTTACTACCTTTGGCGATCAGCCCGAGTGTTAGCTATGGGTCAGCTTCGACTCAAGGGCACACAACAACTACTTGGTAGGTAGAGATATGTGGTAGATCGCTTTTGGAAAGATTTACTGTCTTGGAAACTCTATGGAGGCAGTTCTACTGTTTCATGAATAGGAATCAATGGGACAGCAGTGGAATCTTCTTTCACGTCTACATTCTCCTCACAGATCAGCTGGTGGGTTTTAACTAACTATCCTTTTCGTTAGTAGCCAAGCCGTTTAAGAACCGAACCACCAGAGTTCCTAGTGGTGTAGTGGTTTAGTGCCTTCATATTTCTTCTGAGTCAGCAACTTTATGAGCGATAGTAGGACTTGTGTAGCAAGCTTCTGTTGCAGGTCCTTCCAGGTTAGGAGTGTGGCCTCCTAAGCGCTAGGGGGCGAGCGGCTCACTTTAGTGTTTGTCTCTCTGAGCTCTGACAGGCGGCGGGCGCATGCTCCGTGAGTCCCAGAGACTGTAGTGGAGTGACCTTTCTACACACGTGAGGTGTGAACCTGGGAGCATCATGCTGTGAGGAGATGGGGGCGGCTGTGTCCAGAGCAATGAGGAACTTCAATCTCGAGAACAGGGCAGAGCGGGAAATCAGCAAGATGAAGCCCTCCCTCGCCCCCAAGCACCCCTCTACTAAGAACCTACTACGAGAAGAAATGAGTCGTGAGTGGTGGGAAGGCGCGGGCGGGAGGGTTCTGCTCCCCTGGCCTTGTCCAGAGGTCAAGGTGACCACCGGGAGCCTGTGTGGTCCCAGCCTGGCGGGAGGGATTGGAGGGAGGTGGAGCTGGTAGGCCCGTGACATTGAGACTGTCCCCTTCGCCCCTGGGGTGGAATCTGCTGCTGGCTTTTCCTAGACCCCGAAGATCCGCCCCCCTCCATGGCTTTTCTCTTGAATATTTAGCTGCGTGGAGCACAGAGGCAATCAGGAAGGTTTGTGTGCTGCGGAAGTGAATGGCCTCATTCACAGTGTAATAGACATTTTATAGTGACGAAGTTTTCATCAGGTGTTTTGATTGGAGGATAAATGCTGGGCCTGACAGGTGTTTTGATTTACATTTAGAATCTGTGCTGACCAATTAATTTTTAAAAATCGACTGACCTGTGTTACGCTTGGGATCTTGGGGAAATCTTTTTCTTTAATACCACGGTCTTTCTTGTTTCTTTAGGCCATCCAGAAATCAGGGGAGAAATTACTAGAAAAGATGACAGGCTGTTGTCCTTACTAAAAGATGTTTATGTTGATTCCAAAGATCCTGTGTCTTCTATGCAGGTAATGTATGTCTTAATGAATGCAGAGTAAATGAGTAACGTTTCTGGGCTCTAAGGAGAAGAGTACTTCTTTCGGGCAATATTATCAGAGATCAAGAGAAGGGGGCCGAATGATAAAAGAGAGTGAACATTACAGGTATAAAAGTGGCAGTGTCATTGTGAAAGAAGGTACCTTGACAAAGTTTAAATACAGTGGACTTGGTTCATTGGTTATTTCTGAACTTTGAGAAAACTCAACACCACTTGTAAAGTATCTGCTTGAGTGTTTGATGCTCTTTCAGAAGTTACGTGATTTGGTAAGGTACCTTTCATGATTGTCATCTTACTGACCAAAGGAAAGCCAGACTATTTGCATTTGCATTTGAAAATTGGTTCTTGGAGAGATGATGGAGCTGGTGACTTTTCAGTAAGAAGCTGAGTTTTAATTGTAGCACTCCTAAGGCTCCTGTCTACACATCAATTGATTTTTTTTTCTTTTAGTCATTCGTTCATTATATTTAGGCACTTGGCCATCCTTTTGGAAAGAGGTTAAAGTGAACTTCACACATCAAATAAAAATCCTCACACTGCAAACGACTTGATTCAAATTCATAGTGACCATCTATCAGCTTTCTGAAGGTGTGAATCTTTTCTAGAAAGAAACTTCCCATCTTTCTCCCAAGGAGCAACTGGTGGATTTAAAGGCAAAGGAATGAATGGATAATGTTTTCGAAAAAGTGCAGCCAGAGTGCTCCTTGGAGGCACGATGTTGACGTTTCATCTTATACTTTGGACATGTGATTAGGAGAGGCTATTCCCTGAAAAGGTGTCATGCTTGGATAAGTGGAGGGTCACGGAAAGCCAGGAAGACCCCCAAGGAGATGGACTGACATGGTTACTTCAGCAATGGGCTCAAGTGTAGCAATGATAATGAGGACGGCACAGGATAGGACAGGGTTCAGGTCTGTTCATAAGGTTGCTATGAGTCTTACTTGATGACACCTAACAACAACTTGGTTAGTAGTGCAACATACTACACTCTGTATCACCAGTGTGCTCTAGAAACAATTATAGCCTCGAACACCAGGTGGGGTAGTTTTACTCAGTTTTAAGGAGACTGAATCAAAAATTGACTTCAATGAAAATTTACAGAGGCTTTGGATTTCCATTCATTCATTGTTGTAGATTTGTCCCCTCCCAAGGCTTCCCCCCCACCAGACATTACCCTCTTGGAAAAGTAAAAGAAAAGATTCTTTCATT